ATACAGCCTTAACTCAGAGCACATGTCATAGGTATACAATTATCATAGTATATTCTGTAAGATAGCATACAGCCTTAACTCAGAGCACATGTCATAGGTATACAATTATCATGTAGTATATTCTGTAAGATAGCATACAGCCTTAACTCAGAGCAAATGTCATAGGTATACAATTATCATGTAGTACATTCTGTAAGATAGCATACAGCCTTAACTAAAACATATATTATAGGTTTACTCCGTAAAGTATCATAAAACCTAAAGTAAAACACATAAAAGGCCCATTCTCTGTAGGCTAGATAACATATAGCCTTCACTCAAACATATCATGGGTATACCTTATGTAAAGAACAAGTTTACCTAAAAATATTAACTCAAAATATTCTCTTTGCCTCACATATTTTGGTAGTTTTATTTCCAGGTTTTTTCCTGTGTTTCCTTTGAGTTCAATAACCAGGTACTTTAAAGGAAAACGAAAATGTTCATATACTCTTCAAAATGAAACATAAGTACTATCCATTGCGAAATCATAAATTCAAGCTCTTGAAAACAGATAAGAACATTCTGAGATACAAAGATTGCAGTGTGTACTCACTGTCCTCAGCCATGTAGGCCATCTTGTCTTCTTCACACACGCTGTTGTAGTAAAAGTGTGTTTCGCTGTATAGCTTCCTAACCATGACCTGCTGCCATTCCATACAGCCAGCCATCTCCTTCTTCATGCAACCATACATGCCCTCTAACTTACTAAAAACCATAAAAAAATCAATCAATGGACACATTTACCCAAAAATCTTGATTAAGAAGCCAGCTAGATTAGAAAAATAGGCTGGATTTGAAACTAAACCTGAGTTTGTTACAGTGAAAAATATTTCAAAAGTTAGCCAGCTTCAAAAATAGCCCAGCCTTGAAAATATGCCTTGGATTCCTTGCAGTCAATTTTGCAATGGTGGACCTTGCAAATCAATGATCTTTTTGTTAAAAAAAAAAAAAATGAAAATATCTATAGCTATGTAATTTGCACAACCAAACCAAAAACTTTATTTCAGCACCAAAAAACTGCAAATTTCATATTTTTGTTTTTTACAGTAAATGGTTTTGAATATTTTGAGCAATAATGCAACTATGGCATGGATTATTTATAAAGCTTAAAAATAAAAAAAAGCATTGAAAACAAATCGTACATGTCTTCAGTTTAAATGGCTTCAAAAATAAGACACTCGTAAAAATGGGCCAGCTTCGAAAATCAGCCTGTGATTTCTTACTAAAAACAAAAAACAAAAAACTGTGGCTTAGTTTCGAAATGTAAGAGTTCAAACATAAGCTTATGGTTTTTCATAACCAATGAGCTTACACAGCACAAAACAACACTGCTAGAAACTCTATTCATTTGGACAAACACAATGTTCGTGTCATGGAGTATATGTTCTATCATTACCATTAAGAATGTGAAACAAAGCTTTCTGATTTATTGATATCATCACATATTTGGGGCATCAAGAAATCCTTCAGACTGACATAACTTTCTCCCACCCTTCACAGGTGTGCCGGGAAAGATCAGCTTGTCACCCCCTAGGGGGAGATAGCCTTGTGCCGATTAGTACATGTTCAATTGTGACGTCATTAAAATGTGTCAGCTGTAATTGTGATGTCAAAGTGAATGACGATATTCATACCCCACATGTGTTTTGTTTACACTACTGTCGGTGGAGACGTGACTGAAATAATAGGATGGGAGAAAAATAATCATCATCTCCAACCTAGGGTTAGACAACCAAAAAAATCACCCCGGGGATTGGAGATTTCTCTGTCACACCCTCAAGGTAGGGGAAGATTCTATTAGTCATTGCTTACCGACAGAAGTTATCAAATGATGGTCCAACCCAATCTTCTGCTGTAACAGTAGAAATAGCTGTAAGGTAACACTCGGTAGCCCCTCTAGGACGGCAGTCTTCTTTATCCATTTCATCTTTCTCACGATCTTCCTCATCCATGTCGTCGGCCTTTCGATCTTCCTCATCCTTGTCATTTCTCATATCACCAACCATATAGGCATCCTGCATGGCTTTGACAGAACCCAGAACAGCTTCCTGCCAGGATCTCATCTGATCTTGAAGAACCTGTATGACACCATCCTCATTAATCATATCACCACCCGCCAAAAGTCGATCTGAACCCTTTCGCACGTCCTCGGTAACCATCCATGAACAAGTGGGTGAACTCATAACAAGTTGTTCAAACATGTATTGGAATGTACGTATCTGCATCATTGTCACATCTGAACAGCCTGCGGTCAAGTTCTCATTCAAAATACACATCTCACGGATGTAGGCTGGCTCCCTAGATTAAAAAAGAAAAAATTGAAGATATTACTTTTTTTTTTCCCCATGTCATACTTTTCCCTAGCAAACTCCGTTACATGTTTTTATTTGTATCAAGACTGGCAAAACAAGACAGAGTTGATATTAGTTTTCAGTGTGTTAAATTAATTTAAGAATGTGATACTCCAACTGTGCAGTTTAATATAAAAGTGGCACTTTAAATACTCAAACAACACTGTTACATACTCAAAATCAAAGTTATAAATAATCAAACAGAAGGTATACGCAAATGAAAGTTGAATATTCAAACAGCTCAGTTAAATACTCAAATAACAGTTAAATACTCAAATAGCAGGTAAATACTCAAAAAACAGGTAAATACTGAAATAACAAGTAAATACTCAAACAGGTAAATACTCAAAAAAAAGGTGAATACTGAAATAACAGGTAAATACTGAAATAACAAGTAAATACTCAAACAGATAAATACTCAAATAAAAGGTGAATACTGAAATAACAGGTGAATACTGAAATAACAAGTAAATACTCAAACAGGTAAATACTCAAAAAAAAGGTGAATACTGAAATAACAGGTAAATACTGAAATAACAAGTAAATACTCAAACAGATAAATACTCAAATAAAAGGTAAATACTCAAACAACAGGTAAATACTTGAATAACAGGTAAATACACAAAAAAGCAGGTAAATACTCAAATAAAAGGTAAATACTCAAATAACAGATAAATACTCAAATAACAGTTAAATACTCAAACAGTAAAAAAAAAAAACAGTTAAAAAATCAAATAACAGGTAAATACTCTAACAAGAGGCCCATGGGCCATAACGGTCACCTGAGTCCTACAGTATTTATTTTTGTTGTTGAATAATATGTACCAATTTGAGTAAAAAATAGTAAAGTATAACGTTTATATAAGTTTGTCAGGAACATGAGCTGCTAATTCCTAGACCGAGTTTCAGTTAAATCGGCCTAGAAGAACTTGACTTGAAGATTGAAATATTTTTCATAATGGCAGCCATGGTGGCCATATTGGCATGATCGACCCGGTAAATAACAACACCTTGTCAGGACCATGATTCGATCATTCCTACCAACTTTCAGTTCAATCGGCCCAGCAGAACTTGACTTTAAGTTTGAAATAGTTTTTCAAAATGGCGGCCGTGGCGGCCATATTGAATTTCTGATTGACCTGAAAAATAACAACACTTTGTCAGGACCATGAGTAGATCATTCCTACCAACTTTCAGTTCAATCGGCCCAGCAGAACTTGACTTTGAGTTTGAAATATTGTTTTCAAAATGGCGGCCGTGGTGGCTATAATGGATTTCTGATCGACCCGAAGAAATAACAACACTTTGTCAGGACCATGAGTCGATCATTCCTACAAAGTTTCAGTTCAATCTACCCAGCAGAACTTGACTTTAAATTTGAAATAGTTTTTCAAAATGGTGGTCGTGGTGGCCATATTGGATTTCTGATCGACCCGAAAAATAACAACACTTTGTCAGGACCATATGAGTCGATCATACCTACAAAGTTTCAGTTCAATCGGCCCAGTCAAACTTGACTTTAAAGTTTGAAATAGGTATTTTCAAAATGGCGGCCGTGGTGGCCATATTGGATTTCTGATCGACCCGAAGAAATAACAACACTTTGTCAGGACCATGAGTCGATCATTCCTACAAAGTTTCAGTTCAATCGGCCTAGCAGAACTTGACTTTAAGTTTGAAATAGTTTTTCAAAATGGTGGTCGTGGTGGCCATATTGGATTTCTGATTGACCCGAAAAATAACAACACTTTGTCAGGACCATGAGTCGATCATTCCTA